CGCAGTGACTCGTTCACGCGATTGTTCTTTTCGTCTTCCAGAAACCATTTGCGACAGTTTTCCATTCTCTTATAATTCGCGTCTATAAATTCCTGTATCGAACCTGCTTTCCCACCACGTTCATTGGGCAATAGTTCTATTGGAAAGTACTCGCTCGCGCTCTGCAGTGAAGTATGAAAGTGTGTCTGTAAAAGGTCATTATTCATTATCGCTTATCTTCCATGTGTGTATTCAACGGCATTTCTTAGAAAACATTAATAAGCAAACATTACTGATTTAATATGGAACCAATTAAAAACAATTTAATATAATTATTGACGTCGTTGTGATTTAATTTTCTCGATATGGGGGATGTTTCGAAAGCCATGGAAAAAACATCAAAGGATTACGGTCTCATCAAGAGATTCACTTTTTGTATTGTGTGGTGTAAAAATCGTTTCCTCAGNACATCAGAGGATTGCGGTCTCATCAAGAGATTCACTTTTTGTATTGTGTGGTGTAAAAATCGTGTCCTCAGTTCGCCCTTGCTCTGACCGCCTGTGTGGGGTGGGCAGCCGGTCGCGCGATGGCGTTGCGCGTAACGTCTGACAATATTAGTCCTTGAATTTGTTTTTATTTTTGTGTTGTTTTTTTTTTATACTATTATTGAGACATTCAAAGCAATATAGATTAATAATAAATGCAATCATGCGTAAGGCATGCATTTTGAGCACCTGCTGAAATGAGATGTGTAAATGAAATTAAAATAAAAGACAAGTAATGCACAAATATAACCAAAACACATAAACTAGTATTGTCAGACATCACGCAAAATGCTCTCGCGCGACCAGTTGCCTATCTCACGGTTGGTTCAAATAGGTACGCATATGAGGACACGAGTTCCTCGACAAAATTGATACTCTTGGTGAGATAGACGCAACATTCCTTGAAGTTTGTTCCTGAATAGGCCCCGAATCACTCCGTATATCGCACCATTTCATCATTACTCGCTAACAGTAGCGAACTAGATCAGAATGATAATTTTATCGAGGAGAAATCATTTGTTAAAAAGTTGAAAATGCTTTTTCTACCAAATTTATAAATTCCGCACTTATGAAAGGTTTCACCATATTGTATATCACTTCGACTATTGGCGACGTATTTATTATGTGTATTCCTTTCAGGCGTATTGGTAAGGCATCTTGTACGTAGTATATTAATTTCTTTAAGCTTGGTAGGTTTATACGGCCCACGTGTCCTGTTGTGATGCCCGTGGCATCGGCGACCCATATCATTCCTTTCATCGATCCGCGAGTCCAAAGATATTCCTCATAGATCATAAGACCCGTACTTATTGCTTCATTGAAGAAGAAATGCGAGGGATCCATATCGACCAGCTGTACAAATTGTATATTGTATCCTTCTTTTGTCTTACCATCTAGTTGAAACTGGCCACTTTTTAACAAAAATATGGTTACTTAAGAAAGATTTTAGACGAATTTCAACTATATTATTATAACTGTATTTGTTCAAAATGATGAAATGTGCTTGCAAAATTTTCTACGATCGGAAAGCAATTAGCATAAATAAACGTTTATGCAAAAATCATCTGCGAAGTTT